AAGTAGATTGCCCCATCTTCCTTCCATGGAGTGGCTGGTGGGTTTGAACCACCAACCTTCTGGTTAGCAGTCAAATGCCTTAGGCACTGCACTACCAGAAGGACGAAAATAATCTCCCTTAAGAAATACTGCCTTGTACGGAGTTCCAGATCCTGCTGTAAAATGAATACCTTTCTTACTTTAATAAGTATCACAAAGAAGCAGCTAATTTTTCAACAAAGATCTAATATTAATCTAGACTTCCTAGTGTTTAAAATGAGTACTGTTACAATACAAATACTTTGTATAGGTTACCACCATGGATTCCATGACCAGGAGTCAAGTCAAACAGAATCCAAAGGATTAGTGCCTAATCCTCAACTGAGCTGTAATAATCAGTCAATACTAATGGATACATAAAGGGGGGTAACCTGCCCAGGACAATCACTACTCTCTTACTCAATCCCAGTAAAGAGATTATATCTTTCACGTAATTGACCAGGGCTATTATTAACTGGAGGGCTTCTTTTATTCTCTCTGAACTTGCAACCACTTTTAAGATCAATGAAAGCTTTGTCAGTGGAGGAAATCTAAAGAACAGAGAGAAATGAGCTTCCTGCCCTCAAAGAAAGTCTTCTCTGGATTTCTCATAGACAGTCCCTTTTCTGAAATGAAACCATAGGAAAAGAAATCACACTTAAAAACAGCTGAAGTCGAAATACCTACATAATGTCAAGTTGTTTGTCAAAATAAATGCAGGGGTGTGTTTGTGTTTTACTCCCAACTGCCCCTTTCTTATCTGATTAAAAATAGAATGTTCAATCTTTCTTTTTTTCAGCATAACTACACAATAATCAAATCTATTGAGGCATCCCAAGTCTTCAAGGTTAAAATGATTGCCAGTTCTTTTGATCTGGGCCGTAACCACCAGATTAATGTCCAGCTTGCCTATAATGATCTCTCTAATCGAGAGGGAACAGAGGTAAATCTTCCACCCATGATTTTAAAACTTTTAAGTCTTCCCTACTTGTTTTAGAAATATGGGAGAGAATTAATATCTACTGCAGTAAACTATCTGTTTATGACACTATTTGAAAATATTTACACTACTAAACGCATCAGACTCTGCCAGGTATAGATTAAATGTACAACCGATGGATTAGAATGCACCTATCACTCCCCTTCTGCCAACAGGGCATGGCATTGATTTCTGTGCTCTTCAGAATTCTTATTTACTGTCTTCCACGGATGTATCTATAATACAATGTTTTCTTAATCTACACTCAGTAATTAGATTTCTTACCCATACATACAAATTTTCATTCATATAATAGTGCTTAGAAATGAGATACTGGGTAACAAGTTGGGAGAGAAAATAAAAGTCCCAGTTAGTGATTTGGTTGATTACCTCTAGGATGTTAAACCACAGGGGGTGCCTGAAAAACCTAGTGCTGTAACTTTTGCCAAGTTAGGATTGTAAAGAAAAACCTTGGAAATTGCTTCTATTGCTTTCTCCCTTGAAATAATTTAAAAATGAGCACATAAATAAAACTGTTTCTTCTCAGAACAAAAAGAAATTAAGAAGAAAAAAACAAAAGCATCCAAGTTTGCAGCCCACATTTCTTCAGCAGTGTGGCTCATTTGCAGAGTTTTATCATTACATTCCCTTCACATAACACTTTTCACTTTTAGATTAATCTGCTGAAATGAGATGCTAAGGATTTGCATACAGATTTGACTATACAAAAATAGATATGGAATTAATAACAGTCTCTATATGTTTTAATTTCTCCTAGACTGGAGTACCCTTGCCTGCAGCGGTATTCCTGGCTTTGGAAGTCATCAAGCTGATTTGTCTGCTCTGGGTTATGAAGCCACATGCTGCTACACTGTCCCCTGCAATCAAAGCACTTGCAAAGATAGATTCCATGCCTTTCTCAATCGAGTATATTTTATAGATTGGCAGTTTTGATCTCTCCCCCCGCCACCCCAGGGGGGATAATCTGCATCTTAACAGCTTTCTATAGATACATCTGTCATTAAATATGCCATCTCCTATCAGCATTCATTTTTAAAACCAAGTTTTCCCTAACTTTGAAGTGCCACAGTCAAAGTTAAGACTTTTCAGCCAAAATTGAAAATGAATAACCCTGTCTTATACTTTTGAACTGTGACTTAAAGATATACTGCAGGTTCTGCCAAAGTCAAATAAGTCTTTAAAAACTGCCAGAAGGAATGAAAAGTTACCACCATGCTACCAGCAGCGAGAAAAGCTTTCTATCATCAAGACAAGAGTAAAGCATTTTTCTTAAGATTCTCTGTACAACTCATCACAAAATGTTATGACAAATGGACGAGTGCATACCAGAGAGATGATGATAGGTGACTGCCAAACCAGCAAACTTTGCACTACCAAGAATTCATCCATTCTCCAAATCATAGTGAGCTCAAAAGCAACAACTGGTCAACCATGGAAGTATCTATAAAATAGAGGTGTTTAGAAAAACTATTCTCATTATATCTTGCTCAGATTATGTCGTCTAATGATTCTGCTATTTTTTTTTTCCCCAAGTACAGAAAATATCTCTTTGATTGAAATGGGGAACTCAGGGAGGAAGTGAAAGAGTGCTGTTACTTCATGGGATTGCAACCAATGTCACAAAACAAGATGTGTATAAATTGTTGAATGGAAAACTAATTTGTTCTGTGAACTTTCTCCCAAACTACAATAAAAGGTTCCAAAAAAAAAAAAAAAAAACACCCTAGTAATAGCAGATGGTCCTACACCAAACTCTTCAGGTGACAAGCCTGTGGAACCTAATACAAGGCTGGTTCATAACTGGGACAAAACAGGATGCAAAGAACTGATCATCTCCATACTCTTAGGGTAGGCACTGAGGTGGGAATTCTGCTAGCAAATTCAAACGTGAGGAAAATCATCCCAATCTCTCTGCAAATCTAAAGGGAAGTTTAGTACATTGCTGTAGAGGTTTGTTTATGGAAATTTCTTACCATTTCCATAAAATATACAATGATAATGAATCAATGAATGAATTTTGCAGTCTAAAGTAGGTTTTTTTTTTTTTTTTGGTAACTCTTTTCTTCACTTCTTAAATGACCAATTTTAGAGCACTGATCAGTGTCAGAAGAAATACCACCAGAATGTGCCTTAGAAGCAAGGTTGACTAGACTGGCTCACTTACATTGTGGTTGGTAAAAAGTAGAGGCTCAGCGAATCCTGATAGCTAGGAAAGTGGACTCAAACTTACCAACAGTCAGCAAGATGGAATGGGACCAGACATTGTTTCACTGTGTTATACATAAGATCCTATGAGTCAGAGCTGACTTGAAGGCAACTACTAACAGACTGTTATATTCTAACATGTAATCCTTTCAGAAAACAGTAACATTTTAAACAAATGTACTTCAGAGTAGCTCCATATTAACACTAAGTTAATTTTATCTTTTAATTTTATATTGGCAATGTTTACATTTTAGACACTAAGCTGTAGAGCCACAGACAGTCATTATTTTGTGCCTGAGCCCTGAGAAAGATGGA